GGAAGTTCATATATAAGAAAGAAGAGAGATTCATCTAGGCACTGAAAGAAAGAAAATCTTGGAAGAATCTTCTGTTGTATGAGGTAGCTTTTCTTGGCCCTTCTGCTTGAAGGAGTTCCCCAGCTGTGTTGGAAGAGAACCACTGTGAGAGGGTATACAACCAGTCCTTCTCTTTCTGTTGTCCTCAGACATTGATTTCTATGGGATCAGTCAAGAAAGAACATTAGGGAAGGCAAACCAGAAGTCTGTTATCATTATTATTAAAAAGTTTTTGTGAAAAAATCTGACCAGACCATCTGGGCAGCTGCCTCTTTCTTCCTTTGTGTACCTTCCTGGGTTGTTCTGAGTGGTCTGAGTGGTGGAGGAGGAGGCCAAGGCTGAGGAGCAGCAGTGATTCTCTTACCAGCAGACATGTGAAAAGAACCACAATTAACCCTGAGTATGTGAAGCTCTTAGCTAAGAGGAATAATTCACTGCATTGGGGCCTTTCACATTCAAACTTCACATTTCTAATTCTTTCAATCATTTAAGGAACTCATATAATGAAATGTACTGCTTAGAAGATAGTGGTTAGCACTAAAATACATCATGAAGAAAAACGATGAGATTGGTCAGTTTAACCCAGAAATCAGAGGCTCAAGGGAAGCAGCAGAAGTTGAAGAAGTGGACAGTGAGGATCAAGTCTCACTACTTAGAAAAGCAGCCTTCAGCAGGTAGAGCCACCTGGAAGTGCCTGTTGCCACAAAGGGAATTTTGAAGTGATAGTAGAGATTTAAAAGAAAAAGAGGCTAGACAGTTTTATGTGCTGGATTCTCCAAGCCATTAATTGCTAAAGTTAGTTTAAAAGACACCAGGGAGGTTCAACACATACTCCCATGTCTTCCTCAAGCACATAAATAAGACACCTGTATGAACGGTGTATCCTGGGACTTATATATACTGCAGTTAATAGAATTGTGTTAGCAAATAAACATGATAGACTTTTTCAAACAAAAATCATTGTTATTTTTTTACATAATTTTCTTATCCAAAGAATAATCTCTTGAAGATGAATAAAGCTGTTTTTTTTTAAATTAGTTGTAGATGGACACAATAGCTTTATTTTATTTATTTATTTTGAACCAGGCAAGTGTGAGCTACCGCAGAGCCATAACCCCAGCCCCAAATAAAGCTATAATTTTTTAGCTAAAAAAAAAAAAAGTTTTTGCACCTGTTTTATGAACTGGGGCTTGGGATGATATGTAACCTCTCTTTGGCCAGGAGGTATCTGAGGTGAGGGACCATGTCTTCTACATCTCTCTAATGTTTGGTCATACATAATGCTCACTATATTTTTGTTGAATCGGCTAAGCTAATATTGTCCCTCAGAAAATTCAGAATGTGTCCCGTCTGACAGGACACATCAACGTGGGCAGCGAACCTAGATGGGGAGGAATGAAGGGACAAGAGACACAGAAGGATGACAGCAAGACAAAAGTTCTGATCAAGCTGCAAACTTTTATTGTTCACACAGGGGTATTTATATGGTGGGAATGGGGAAGCTCTCTTATCGGCAGTTGCTGGATGTCTGCACAAGGTGAGATAACCGCAGGATGTTTCAGGAAGATAGGTTTCAGGAAGATAGGTGGCCGCAGGATGTCTCAGGTGAGATAAGTAGCTGCAGGATGCCTCCCAGGCAGGATGTCTCCCAGGGGGCTGTCAGGCTAATCTTTGAAGGAGAATTTCCTTCTAGTCCCTGACAAGAATGTAAGTCAAAGAGTAAGGACACAGTGACTAACATTTGGAAGAAACAGTAAACATTTTTAATAATGAGGTTAAGTTTAATCAAAAGCCTTCTGGGGGCTGGAGATATAGCTCAGGTGGTAGAGTGCTTGCCAGCATGCACAAGGCCCTGGGTTCAATCCCCACCACCAAAAAAAGAGAGAGAGAGAGAGAGAGCAAGCATTCCATACTAGATGGAACAAGAGTCAACCCATCTATTTTTTGTGTGTGTATGGTGGGGAGGGAGTGTTGGGAATTAAACCCAGAGCTTTGCATGAGTTAAGCATGTGTTCTATCATTGAGCTTCATCCCAGGCAAGAATTGAACCCATCTTGATGGCTGAATGAGTATTAATAATCACCAATCTCGCTATTAATAAAAAAGCAATATTTTGGTTCAACCTGATTGAGAACGGAATTTCTTGGCAGTAGGTCTTGTAGGAGGGGAAAGGAGCACCGTCAAGTGTCAAAATCAAGGAGCCAGTAGATATTAGTCACCAATTTCCAAACTACAGCACCGTAATGGGTGTAGAAGGTAAGTTACCTTTGAGGTCTGTGGATTCTCCAGACATTCTTAGTAGTGGAGCTTTGGAAGCTTCCTTTCTGTCTCCTGTTTTTGTACTGAGTTTCTTCCTGTGGAATACTACTGGGTTGTGAGTCACAGGTGCAGGAATTTTCCTCTCAGGTTAGGGCTTTCAAAACCTTAAGTCTTAATCTGTTCATTTCCCGATCAAACCTCATCTATCACTCACCTTTGTTGGCTTGTGTAACCACTTAATCTGTTCATTTCCCGATCAAACCTCATCTATCACTCACCTTTGTTGGCTTGTGTAACCAATCAGCCCCTCAGTTTTTCCTCCTTTTCTCTGAGTGTTCTCTGCTTTCCTCTCTTTTTTTCTAGTGGTCCCTCCATCCCAACTTAGCTCATAACAGAAATCTTGTGTTTCCAAAATTCTCTTATTCTTAACCTCATCAAGAAGTAGTGGTATTCATCCAGAGGCTAAATTATCATCTCCATCACTCCAGTTGGAAGGTTATCAGGCCCCTCAGTTCTTCCCAGAGACCTGACTCTGGGATCTGTTTCCTATTGGATAAGTGACAACTCAAAAGCACAGCAAGATAACACAATGTGGTGTCCCCAGAAAATTTAGATAATTTCTAATGAATCTAAGTCTAAAACCAAGAAAGTTTGGTGGGGTATGGGAACTTCCTTCCTTCCCTGAATTCTTTTTTTTTTTTTTAAATATATTTTTTTTTCCTAGATATAGATGGACACAACACAATGTGGTGCTGAGGATCGAACCTGGGTCCTGCCCATGCTAGGTAAGCGCTCCACCGCTGAGCCACAATCCCAGCCCCTCCCTGAATTCTTATATAATTATATGCAATCACCAAAATAGATTTTTTTTTTTTTTAAAAGACAAATTAATTTTTTTTTTAGATAGAATTTTTTAATGTTTATTTTTATTTAAGTTTTCGACGGACACAACATCTTTGTTTGTATGTGGTGCTGAGGATCGAACCCGGGCCGCACGCATGCCAGGCGAGCACGCTACCGCTTGAGCCACATCCCCAGCCCCCACCAAAATAGATTTACAAATCTTCACCTCCTTACAATACAGACCATGCATTCTTACTCTAGGTCACACAAATCTAAATGCAAGTATTGACTTTAGTTTTTTTCCAACTGTGTTATTGTTTTTTCTTTCTTTCTCTCTCTCTCTCTCCTTTTGTATGGGGAATTGAACCCAGAGGTGCTTAACCACTGATCCACATCCCTGGATGTTTTTATTTCAAGACAGGATCTTGCTAAATTGTTTAGAGCCTTGCTAAGCTGCTGAACTTGGCTCTTGCCTTAGCCTCCTGAGTCACTGGAATATAGACATGGGCCACCATTACCAGTTTTTCTTAATTTTTTTATTGGTGCATTATAGTTATACATAATGATGGGATTTGTTGTTACATATTTGAATGTGCACACAATATAATAATATAATTTGGTCAATGCCAATCCCTAGTATCTCCCCTTTCCTTCCCCTCCTCCTTCCTCTGGTTCCTTAGAAATAGAGAATACCCTTTTGGCCACCTATACTAGGCTACAAATTTTAAAAATAAAAGTTCTCAACCTATGAAAGCAGTGTAAGAAAAATCTTCATTTGAAACCTCAGAGTGGTTTCTTGGCATTTATGTTATAAAAAAAAAAGTCAAGATGTTTACTTTGTTCTATTTATTTCTATGAGAGATAGAAAGGATGTTTTTAAAAAAAAAAAATTTTTTTTCAGCTTCAAAGAGTTTTCCGAAAAGGGTATGAGAGGATCATTTTCATTTACACATCAATATGCACACTGTTCATGACAATTTGAATTCAAGGCAATGTGTGTAATATGTGCTTTTCTGAAATCCAGTATACTCATTTGGACACATGGGTTTTCCTTGTGTTCTTGTTCCTATATGAAAGGAACTGGTGCTTTGGCTTCAAGAACAAATTAAAAAAAAAAAATCACAAACCCAACTTTTATCTGATTTGGGTCTAGATTAATTTCTAAGGAACCATTTAGCAATAATAGCTTCAAACATTTAAATATCCTCTGAAACTGCAATTAATTAAGGAATTGCTGATTCTAAGAACTTTGCCATCAATTAAAAAAATGAGGGAAGAATTCTAATTCTGGTTTAGAATTAGAATTAGAATTAGTTCAAAGCAAAATATTAATAATCTCATTTTTTCAATATCTATAAATAAAATAGATGGAGGAGATAATAAGAGTAATGTTAACCTGGGCACAGAGGCGAATGCCTGTAATCCTAGCAGCTCAGGAAACTGAGACAGGAGGGTCATGAGTTCAAAGCCCCCCTCAGCAACTCAGTGAGACATTGTCTCTAAATAGAGCTGGGGATGTGGCATAGTGATTGAAGGCCCCTGAGTTCAATCCCTGGTACCTGCCCCCCAAGAATAATGTTAAGTAATGTTAAGGTACATATTGAACGTGGGAATGTTTTTTCATTAAATTTATCACTTACTTTAGTTCAATAAAATGCTCATAAGGAAAATAATCACTTAATGCAAAAGTGGTTGTTCAGAACTTGAGAGCAAAAGAATGGATGCCTACCAACTTTCTTGGCTAAAACTTAATCATTTGTCCAGAAATAGATTATTTTTAAGTTGACTATCTCTACTATGTCTTAAAAATTCAAAGCAGAAAGCAAAATCATAAAAAGCCAGAAACCTCATCAATACATCTACATAGAAGTTTGCTTGTAGTTTGGGTATCCAAACTTTTCTTCCCACACATGGCAGATGGGCTTTTTGCAGGTACAGTCCTGGCAGTAATGAGAACCCGGTTGATGCACAGAATTTTTACAAAGTCTGCAAGAGGAGAACTTATTCCTTCCATATGGATCAAATCTTGCTCTTTTTGAAGTCAAAGCTTTCTTTTCATTTAGCTTTCTTTCACCACTTTCTGTGATGCCTGCACCATCCTTCCATATATCTGGGGTGATAACCGTACCAAGTTTCTTTTCACATTTTCTGAACACCATCCTTCCGTTTGCAGTTCCCTTAGATGAGGCAGCAGCAGCTTGCAAACATCAATACTCCTGAGAAAGATTTCCTTCTGTTACTTCTGCTATCCAAGCCCTGGGTCCCGCCTACCCTACGCCTGGAAAACCGCAGCAGGAATAAACGTGCAGATGAGAGCTCTCCTGTTTTCACAGTCACTCAGGCAAGGAGGCGTTCCTGATGCCGTCACAAAGTGGAAGGCCATGACATTCTGCACCTCCCAGTCCAGAGACTTGTCTTTCACCCACTGTGGGACTAACTGCTTTCCAGCCATCCTTTGTTGGGGTGGAATCCTTTTGCCTTACTGCTGCTGTCTTCAATTACCTAAAGTACTAGACCAGGGTGAGAGCCAGGAATACAGGAAATAGGTGCCACACCGCAACCAACCCTTCCCCTACTAAGTCTGTCCTTAAATTGTAAGCATACAAGTGCTCCCTAGGAAAAGATGAGATGTTGGTGTCTCAGGGTAAGTTTTGTTATTTGTCAGCTCTGGTGACATGTCCTCTAAAAAGCTCTGAACTCCCTTAGGTGACCTGTAAACCCTTCTGTGTGCTCCAGCATCTTGTACACACCCGATAGTATAATACTATATTAAAAATCATTTGTAGTGAATTATAATTCTAATTGTTTTTCCCTCTGACTGTGAGCTTTTTAAAGATAGTGTGTTTGACTTGTTTCCCCACGTCACATAGTAGGTATTCGCTAAATGACAGCAAATACATATTTGTTGAATAAGTAATAATAACTCGTAATAGTTGTTTCTCTCTACAGCCACATTCTTTCTCTCTCCTTTTGGACCTCAGTAGATACCATGGGGAGAATCTATAGAACCTAGACAGTCTGATGCACATGCCCAGTGGCTGTGGGGAGCAGAACACGGTCTTTTTTGCTCCCATCATCTGTCTTGTGGTACTTTGAGAGGGCAGGGTCGCTGCCTGAGCAAATCAGTTCTCAGACAGTAGGTTTCCTGGAGATAGGTAAGTTGTTTCAGTCTTTTAAAATATTTTTCTCCTCAAGGCCTATGATAGGTTGGTAAGATATAGGGAAGTTCCAGCCCCTGAAGTGTCCCCATTCTTGAAGGGCATGGGAATGTTGGTTTTTTTTTTTTTTTTTTTTTAAAGAGAGAGAGAGAGAGAACCTCTCAATATTTATTTTTAGATCTCGGTGGACACAACATCCTTGTTTGATTGTGGTGCTGAGGATGGAACCCGGGCCCATGCATGCCAGGTGAGCGCGCTACCGCTTGAGCCACATCCCCAGCCCATGGGAATGTGTTTTGAAGTTATCACTGACATCTCAAATCACATCTGGCTTCTCAGATTACCAGAAGGAGCTGATGTACAAATACAGCAATGTATCATACAGTGCTTTTGGGGAGCAGGATGGAAATATTGCTCACTTCCCAGGAGTTCTGTACTCCAATGCATGATTCTGGAACTGTTTCTCAACCTCTCGCTATTACCCTATTCCTCCTTGCATTCAGTCTTCTACCTCTTTAATACTGTTTAGCCATATATCTGGTAAAGTCCTTCACTCTTCTCTTGAACCTTGTACCTCCCCTGTTCTTGTCCTTGTTAATATCCATTAATGCCTCCCTTTACTAGGCCTCCTGTGGCATTGTCTCCTCAACTCCCCTTCTGGAACATCCACCAGAATGAACTATAAAATTGTGCACCCTCACCTGGAAATCTCCATGCATGCTGTTTTCCTTTTTACCCATGTAGATGGACAACATTTGTCACAAAATATTTTGGTCATGCCCAGATATACATCTTCAGAACATCCAGAATGCTCTGAAGGGGTTAGTAGGGAACCATGCACAAAGCTGTGAAAGTGCAGATCTGTGCAGGGGCCTGCAGCTCCCCTGCTGTGTCTAGAAGGAATTCATATCTCTAATCTCTGAGCAAAATCAAAAGAGTATGCCCTAGGAGTTAGTTTTCTTTAGTACTCAGTCCAGGCTATAGGTGACCTTGGTGAATATACTTTCCAGTCTGGGTCTCAGCTTTAATGTCTGTAGAATGAGAGTGGTTCCCAAAATGTGGTCCTCAGATCAAGGTCATCAGTTATACTTGGGAATTTGTTTGAAATGCAACTTCTGGCTTCCAGCCCAGACCTAGTGAACAGAAGCTCTGGGGGTGTAAGCCAGCAATTTGTATTTTAACAGAGCCTCCAGATGATTCTGATAGATGCTGAGATTTCAGACCACTGGACTAGAGAGTCTTTGGGCCTGTTACTATCTCCCCAAACCAAAGCAAAGCCATTTCCTGTGGTGGTCTAGCAGGCAGCTCAGTGACTTTTATAACAGGTTTGCTCCTCTGTACCAGGCACTGCTCTGAGTACTTTGATACTATTTAATGTTTACAGTAAATCAATCAGCTAGGTACTGTCATACCATTATCAATTCCAATTTACAGATGAAGGAACTAAGCACAGAGACTCAGTAAATTACCAAAGGTTCACACCAATAAATGATAGAACTAGCCCAGAGTGGAATGGCACACACCTATGATCCCAGCAGTTTGGGAGGCTGAGGCAGGAGGATTTCAAGTTCAAAGACAGCCTCAGCAATTTAGCAAGGCCCTAAGGAACTTAGCAAGACCCTGTCTCTAAGTAAAATACAAAAATGGCTGGGATTGTTGCTCAGTGGTTAAGCACTGCTGGGTTCAATCCCTGGTATGTATGTATATGTATGTATAAATATATAAATAAATAAAATTGCAGGACTAAGATGACCATGGCAATTTGATTCCAGAGGCACTATATTTCCTCTCTCACTTCCAAACACAGAATGAAGCATTGATGCTACAGGATAATTTGTTCATTTCATAATATACCCTGTGAAAGAAAAATTTGTACAGACTTTTCCAGAGAAATCATTTACATTGCTATTTAAGGACCTACATTAATTTCTCTTTGGCGGGGTCAAGGGTACAAGGGATTGAACTCAGGGGCACTCAACCACTGAGCCACAAATCCAGCCCTATTTTGTATTTTTGCTGCAGTCTGTCTGGGCACAAAATAACCGAGCCACCACAAAAGCCTTGTAGATTCAAACAGCAACTCTTTATTCTCGAACTCTCACCGGCACTCTACACGCACATTCTGGGAAAAATACACCAGCACTCTACACGCACATTCTGGGAAAATACACCAGCACTCTGCGTACCAAATACCCTCTGAATCCTGCGAGAACTGAACGGGAACTCAAGGAGTGGGCGCCAGAGGCAGCAGGATACGCCCTATTCCCAGCAGGATCCACCCTAAACCTGGAGCCACCCTAATCCAGCAGGATCCACCCTAAACCCAGAGCCACCCTAATCCAGCAGGATCCACCCTAAACCTGGAACAGCCCTAATCCCTGAGCAGGGTCACTTTACAAACCAAAACTCTCAAACATTCATGCAATGTCACTGCAAATGACCTGGGTCCAAGGCAAGCCCATTTCCACAATGGAGAGTCCTCCCTCTAAGCAACATTGGGTAGGCTGACAAGGAAATTGCCATGCGTCATTCCTACTTGGCTATGGCTCTCAGCATATTTTATTTAGAGACAGGGTCTCACTGAGTTGCTTAGCCCCTGGCCATTGCTGAGGGGGGCTTTGAACGCGCCATCCTCCTGCCTCAGCTTCCCGAGCCTCTGGGATTATAGGCATGTGCCACTGCGCCCAGCCTACATTAATAATCTTGAATATCAAAATAAAATATCTGTATAGATTCATTAGTATTCCTCATACAGATTTTATCAGTTTCCCTATGTACCCTTCCTTCCTGCAATATCTGCAATAAAGAACTTATAAGGAGGAAGGCTTACTTTGTTTGGCTCATGGTTTCAGAGGTTTTAGCCCATAGTTGCTTGGCTGTGTTGCTTTGGGCCTGCAATAGCACAGTATGTTATGACAGGAGCACATGGTAGAGGAGGCCTATTCACTTCATGGTAATCAAAGAAAGTAAGACAGGAAAGTAGGCGAGGGTCCCAATATCCCCTTCAAAGGTATGTCCCCAATGACCTAACTTCCTCCCAAACTCAGCTCCACCTCCTAAAAGTTCCACCACCTCCTAATAGCACCGTAGGCTGGTAACCAAAGCTTTAACACACAAGCATTTGGGGTATACTTGATCCAAGCTATAGCATGCTGTGAAATATAGCATACTGGGAGGTACAAGACATGGCTTGACTACAACAAGATGCCAGAGGTGTTTCCTCCTCCTTTCATTCCAGAGCCAGACATTGCATTAAGAATCCTGTCACTGTCAAGTTTGGTGGTTTGGCACAGGTGTTCAAGTTTAACTTCCTAGTCCTGCTGCCTATAAGCTGTGTAATCTTGAACAAGATATTTAATCTTTTTAAGTGTTTGTTTTATTATCTACAGAATGAGGATGATAATTTAGATGACATAGTTTTTAAAACTTGCTAAGGTCTTTCTGGGAAGGGTGCTAAGCAAGGAAGGTCTCATTTAATCTCTCTTGGAGAAGGAGCTGGACTTGAGGGGAGTTCCATTTTGGAAGTTCAGGTTCAGTAACACGGCAGTCTCTCCCCTTAGTCTTCCCTTTTTAAACCTCAATTCCTCCAATTCATTGAGTTTCCTAAATGCATGCTCAGTTGAAAACCTCATGCTGGGTCCAAGAGGCCACTGCTAAGATTGTGCTGCTGTTACTGAAGTCCTGTCCATTCTCCCCTCATTGTTGTCCTGGAATGTTGAAGCTACAGAAAGCTTGCAGAATGTGATAGCTTTAATTTTATTTAATTAATAAAAATTAATAATTTATCCATTCAGAGAGAATGCTTTTTACAATTTGCACATAATTATGGCAGGTGTTGTCTGCTGCTCTGACTTCCTGTCTCCCTCTTCCCTCTAGGGTAGTGTTGAGTACACATATTGCAGCAGCATTGCTGGATATGGGAAGCATCAAAGATGTGAGCTTTACTAGCTTCTTTTTTGGGGGGATGGGGTTACTGGGGAATGAACCCAGAGGCCTTTACC